TACACGCCATCTTTACCCGACTATTTATTTCTCTCTGTCGTGATGCATTGAAAAAATCAAACTGACGCTCAAAATATGCAAAAACAAACAGACGTCTCTGAATGATTAACACAAAGTAACTGGCATCTCTTCCTGTCCTAGTTTGGAGAAAATCCACCCGAACATCCTCATATCCAAAAATAGATTTCTAATTGAAGGTGAGGCTGCTTCACACTCTGAAATGTTCAGTCATTACCTTTAAATGATTAATCAATCTTATTGTGATCTACCTTATCAAGCTCAAACACTGACATGTTTGTGAGCAAACAGCAGAGAAATTTAGATTTAAATTAAAGATTAAAAACCATTATAGTCACTCAGGGTTTCAGCTTATTATTGTTATTTATTATATTTATCTTCTGTTTGAGTTTTAGAAGGATAATTGTTTAATTTTGAGCCTCTTTGAACAGATATCTAACAATTGGATCAATATTTCTTTCCTGATCACAGTCTGGAAACTTCAAATTACAGACTATGTTACATACAGGAAGAATAACGGCTTGTGTCCATATAGTGTTTTTTATTCTGAGCGCCTGATAAGTTAGTTTTAACTAAAAGAAATGGTTAAAACTGATTACATTAAACATTTTAAGTAACACAAACTCCATTTTTTAAGTTAAAAAAAGTGACACTAAAGTTAAATTAACTTATTATTAACTTACTTCAAATAAAAATAAGTCAGTGCCACTTAAAATTAATAAAACAACTTGATCAAATCTGGATCTAATCAGTTTCAACATTTTTTAAATTTAAGTTACCTTATTATTAACTTATTAACTTAAATATGTATTTTGTTTTCACAGTAAAAAAAATTAATTACAAAATTAGGTCAGTGTCACTTAAAATTACTAAAGCTACTTGATCAATAATGTTTTTTTTAACTCAGAAAATTAAGTTAGTTTTACTTTCACAATGTTTTGAGTTGAATTAACTCATCTTACAGTCCTCTGTGAGAGACGTTAGTATTTCCTTCTTTTCCTCTAATTGTCAAATCAATAATCTCTCAGTTGTTTTGTTTTTATTTTTATTTACTTTTTGTCTCTCTGCTTAAAACGTTACAACCGAAGCCGATAATTCGATCGATTTCATGAATCAAACAGAAATCTAAAGGATCACATTAACTGTTTTTCAGTGTCTCATCCTCATCCTCAACCTTCCTCCACTAACACACACACACACACACACACACACCTCTGGGGGCCACTTACATAACCAGTGCCCAGATCAGGAGGGGGAGGTGCAGGGAGGTTGAAAGGGAAACGGGGGGGAGGAGACCAAGTTGAATGATGGGAAAATCAACAGAGATATCACATTTAAAATATTCTGTATTTTGGTTGTATAAACAGGTTTTATTCTGTGTGATATGATATAAAAGATTGTGTTTTATTTTATTCTAATTAAGCTTCTTTGGTTTGTGTGATTGCAGTGAAAGTTGTGTGTAATCAGAGCAGTTTACCTTCGCCTGATTATGTTTCTACAACAACAGGATCCTGAATGACTCATAAAAGGCTTGACGCATGTTTTTGTTTTACATAAGATTTAAATCTATATCTGTGTGTTTACCTTGTTTTACTGGAATAATAATATTAAAATCCTGAAATTCTGCATTTCTTTACTTCTAAACCTGACATTTGTGCAGAGCTGCAACTATTGGTTGGTTAATTGATTAGTTATCAACTATTAAACTATTAAATCACAAATTATTTTGGTAATCGATTAATGGTTTTGAGTAATTTTTTCAGGGGAAAATGTCCAAATTGTCTGATTTCAGCTTCTCAAAAGAGATCATTTCTTGGTTTCTATGACAGTAAACTGAATATTTATGAGATTTTTGACAAAACGTGGTTGTGTTTTCAACATAGACGAGGCTAGCGTATAGCATAGCATAGCATATATTGCTGACTGTTCTGCAGAAAAGGAACAAGGCTGTTTCCTGTGTTTCAGCTCTTTTACTGGACGTCCTTGCAGTTTTTCCTCGCAGTGACACAGGAAAGGGGACTTCTTTTATCAAAATGTCTCCACTAAATTTAGCAATAGGTACGTAGCTTAACGTCGCAGCGATTTCAGGGACAGGTGATAAAAAACCCCAGCTGAAGGTAAAACGCCATCTACATGAGCTCCCTTAGCATGCTTACATTTCACCTTTTCACCAGGCTAATGAATCCCTTTCTCCCATCACCTCCTCCATCTTCCTCCCTGCTTCGCCACATTAATCTCTCATTAGCAACCACACCACCTCCTTCTCCTCCTTTTCTCTCCATCCTTTGGTTTTTTGAAGTATACTTTGCTGAAAAGGGGCCTTATATTGTACACCCACACATCAGACGACTCCTCGCAGCCATTTAAAGGGCAGTCCCTGTGAATGGAGGAAAGATAATAGCCTTAAATGGAGCCAACATGCTGCACAGCTGGATTATTTACACGCACGCACAATGCGGCGTGCTCCTATGCGGCTGCAGGGGTGCGTATAGGAGCACGCCACCACTCGCTATCTGCATCTGGAATGAGTCAGAGCGCCACGCTGCATATAAATGAGTCAATGCAGATTAAGATGTCACTGTTTTTCAATGAAGGTGAAAAAGAGAAGGGGGGGGCACGTAGGAGGTCAAAATTAACCCCTTCGCATCCCACGCCTTTAAAAAAAAAAAACCTTTTGTGTGGTTAAGAGGTTATCACACACACACACACACATAGATCAGCTGAATGAACTGCAGATGAAAAGGTTACACACACTGCTGAGGACTCGGCTGCAGCTGCTCGGAGGCATATTGATTAGATTTGTATTTTATTTTCTCTGCATGGTTGTGGTTGTAGAGTCTTGGTCCATGGTCTGTTTTTTTTTATTGAAGGCGTGGAGGTCTAATGCTCACCTTCACCCCAAAACTGTGTGCCTTGATTATATAAAGAGCTACCTTATTATCCATCCGTTAAGAGGTAGATTTTTTATTATTTATATCCTTTTTACTTCCAAAATCATTCTGCTGTTTGATAAGTGAAGAAAATCTCATCAAATCTTCCTCACACATTTATTATAAAATGTTTTTTCTGTTAGATTGTTTTCAGGATACCTGGCTCCAGTGCTCACTGGCGTTATCCAGCTAACAGCTTCTAACATAACTGTTAGCGACAGTTAGCTTCTTCATTTTACTAATGAATCTTCACTCTGTGTTGCTAAAAGCTGAAGATTAATTGATGAGTGAAATCGGTTGGTTAATGCTTACGTAAGTACGCGTCACATTTTGTTTTACAGGAAGAAAAACATATTAAAAAGATTTGATTTTAATATAAAACACAAAGTTAAGTTGAGTTTTTGTCGTTTTTTGGGGGCATACGTTGCTAAATATGGATACAATATACCTGAGGATGCAATCTGGGTTTAGAGAATTATCCTGAGAAGTATTGTTGAGGTGAAATCTCCTCAGTGAGGTATTTTACTAAAGAGTATCAGCTTTATTGTACTGAAAACAGACGGGATATCCTAAATTTATATTAAACCAGCTCCGAGGTCGCAGTACCTTCATTTTCTGCATATTTCCTTCCTTTTTTTATTTCTCATTCAGAGCCATTTCACCGCCAATTGTTGATAACGCTCTCTCTTTATTACACAGAAACACCTGGATGTTCTCCCTGACTTTCAGTCTGATTTCCCAGAGGAGATGAGATGTGCTCACATCCAAAAAGGGGGGTTGAGAAAAGCCATTCGAGTTCAAGGACTCACCGGCAGTCGCTCTCTGGCTCGTCCTCGACTTCTTTAGCACATTACCGGGCGAATGGCACCTTGACAGCGAGGCAGAGATCCATGAAAGCGCCGTCATGCTTGGCTCAAGTGTTTTCATAATAATCAAGGCAGTCTGTTGTTTTGGCATTTTACTTATTCGGGGGCCTTTCCAGCACATGTGAGAGACGGGGGGGGGGATTTTCTGTCTTAATACTGAAAGCACAGATCATGCCTCAGTTTGCTGATTTTCCAGGTTTCAGCCTCATCATGAAGCATTAAGTATTAAATTCCCCCACAACAGCACACAACACACGACATCCACAACAGAGACTTCTCCTCAGTGTGGAGTTGGTGCAGGTTATGCTCTCTATGTTCTGCTGCTCGTGTATTATTAGTGAACATAGAGCCGTAGAGATTAAAGCTGCAGTGTGGAAATCTGACCCCGCTAACTAGCTATAGCTTTTCTAACGCTCTCCACCTACATCGGCCACATTACTCGCTGCAAGGGAGAGTTGCAGCGATGTGTGTAAACTGACTGACTCGACTTAAGCCGGCTGATGCCGTTGAAATCTCCAGTGGCTCATTCTTTGTAACAACCAGCAGGGGGCAGCTCCATCGGTTGCAATAACACAATTCAGACTTATGGAGAAACG